GTGTGTGTGTGTGTGTGTGTGTGTGTGTGTGTGTATTATATGGATTTAGTGGGGCTTGTTTTGTTTTTAAAAATTGACATCTCAGCACTTTAGGTGGCGTTATTAACCACAGCGCTTGTACTGAAATATATTTTTTCTTGAATTTGAACTGTTAGTGACAACCAGCATATATTGTATTATAAATATGCTAATGTTTTGTTATAACTAGAAAACATAAATGTGAATTGCTTATGGTATTCTGATTCACATTTCATCTAATACTTTTTAACATATATTTAGAAATATAAGCTTTGACAGAAGTATTCATTTAAATTCTGCATTCTGTAACTAATTAACTTAATAATATACCATTTTACTGTGACAGGATCAAGGCATCTGGTCTAAAGCTGCAGTTTTGCACTAATGAAACTCAAGCTACGCGGGACAAGTTTGTAAAAAAGTTGCAACATTTGGGCTTTGACATTGCGGTAAATGAAGTCACCGCTCCAGCACCTGCAGTATGTCGAATTCTGAAGCAGCGCAATCTGAGGCCTCACCTTCTTGTGCATGATGGTCTGCTAATATTTAAAATGTTGCATATGAAGTAAAGTAAAATTAAGTAATTTGAACGTCGCGCAGGTTCACTTTAGATGTGTATAATTCAGGACTGAAACTGTTAGTTTCACACATTAAATTAGTTTTGGATTAATGGTTAGATTAAGAAGACAAAGTCAACAAAACAAAACAAAGAACCCCAAACTAACAATGGAAGTGGGCAGATGGGGTAATGACTGGATAATAAAATGGCCCAGTTGGAATGAACTGTAATCTGTGTTTTCTGAAGTCATAAAGCAGAGCATGGGGTGAATGTTCATACCTCCCATCCTGTGCCAACTTTGATGTGAAGATCTTGGCATGTGTTCCTATTTCTTGGTTTGATAATGTACCTGAATTAAGAAATCTGCAGTTTGGTTTAATCTGAACTAAGTTCTTCATGAATGAGCTGGCACAGGGTGGGAGTAGAGGGGCAAATTGCTTACTGGAAGATAGTATCTTCACACCAAAGCTGGTACACAAGATAAACAATCTGGAAACATGTCTGGAACTTGTTTCCAGATTCATAAAACAGGTCCTTTTCTTTATCACCTCAAACAAATATGGAAACAATCATAATAAGGTTGTTTCCTGTTCTTTCCTATTTATTAATTTATTTTTTATTTATTAATCACATTTATATAGCTGCCCATCTCACGAGAAGTGACTCTAGGTGGCATACTGGGGAACAATGAAAATAAAACCTTCACCTTCACTAGGGTTTCTTGTAATTTACAAGCAATTGTATTCTGCTTACTCTTGGACAATGTAAGCATTCTAAGAAAGTGTTTCAAAATGTTTTCTACTTGAAGCATTTTTTAAATTCTGCCTTCTTTTTAGGCTTCCAGGCACTATCAGTTCTGCTTTTTTCACATGCAACCAGTTATCCTGAAATTCAGAAACATGACTTGAGGGAGCAGATGTATCCTCTTCTTAGTTTAAGCATCATTCTCGTCATGTTGAACTGCAACCACATGATATCAGGTTGACAGCAAAAGAATGTTGTCTCCTAACCATATCATAGACACATTTGCTTGGTTTCCAAGCTATCAAAGCCATTTTCAAATGGCTTCTGCTTTCTGGCCAAGATTTTTGGAACTGACAAGGTGTTCAGTATGGGGGTATATGGCATGCATTTTTTCATCCCTATCAGTTAGCCTGCATTTGGTCCCTGTTGAACATGCTCACTCTTACATTTTCTAATTTTTATTTGCATTTATTTGTATTTCAGTAGAATGTAGGTTGTCTGAAGCCTGCTAATAATTCTTTTATGGGTGTGGATAGTACTGTTTTGGCTATACTGGACAATTAAGTTTTTGATTTATAGAGTAAAATTTATACTATAGTTTCTGAAGGAGAGAATATGCAGCTCTGGTAATGTCTGGGCTGCTTTAACTCACTATGCCTGGGTTAATGTGTACTTGGAAACAAACGTACGTTGTCATGAAATAAATATATATTTGTTTATTATTCCTTAGACCTCATTCCTGAATTTGCTGATATTGATAAAACAGATCCTAATTGTGTAGTAATTGGTGATGCGGCAGACAACTTTTCTTACAAAAATCTGAATGATGCTTTCCAAATTCTCATCAGCCTGGAAAATCCCATCCTGCTATCTTTGGGAAGAGGGTAAGTTAATTAGCGTAGCTCTGAAAATGTTAAAAAATAATGTTTCTTTGGTGTCCACAACTTTTCAAGTCTTAACTGCTCTCTTGCTATCTTGTGTGGTGGTCCAAGCATCTTTCTCATTTGCCCAACAACTTTGGTAGTGAAGACAGATGCAAATGATTAATTGACTCTCTATGCAATTCCCTTATCGTCCTTTAGTCATGTTTGACATCTGTAGGTGAATCAAGAGGGCAGTGGGAAAGAGCTTTGCCCTAGTCTGCCTATCTTCCTGATACATCACTTGAACTGTTGTTTCATTGTGTCCATTGGTAGGGCCACTCATGCTATCCATGTGTGAGGCTGAAAAGAGCTAGTAAGATAAAACAAATGGTGGTATAATCTCCTTTGCCAATTTTCTTTTCTGAACCTATTTAAATTATCATTTTTTTATTGTGGATGTTAATGTACTTTGTCATATTTTCCTCAGCATCTTTTTTCTCCTCTTTTGTATTGTGCCCCTGCATTTCTTTTGGCAAAGTTTGTATTCCTTTCTGTTTCCCTCATTTGGCCAGTTTTTTTTTTTTTTTTAATAATGTTGAGCAATAAATGGAGGGGTGTGTGTGAAATAGTTGCCCAGCCCTGGGAATGAAAGGATGAGCAAGAGACGTAGAACAGCCTTGCCTTAGCCACGTTGTCTTTAAAAAGGGGCAATGAAGCTTTTGGACAGGCTTTTAAGATTCTGTTAATGTACCCTAAAGTAGCTTTCCTGGAATCCCCAGAACGTTTGTTTCTTGAGCTGGCCTACCTCAGAAGGGTGACAAATAAAACTTTTTGTCTTTAATCACTTTTCTGACTCTCTCTCCCAAATATTTGTCAGTGACTTCATTGAGCTGTTTTGAAGTCAAACATGCATAAAACGTTTTTGGCAATTGTTACGTAGACATTACTTATTCAGACATTTCATTATCTGCTTTTCAAAACTAGCTATTCCAGGGTAGAAATACAAAACAGAAATAAAACCATATGATAACAGCCTCCTAAAACCATAAAACCATAACATCACAGAACATTTAATTGATGTGACCGTAATAGCATAACATCTTAAAACCAGGCCAACAACAAAAGGTACAACAATCTAGGATGAATAAATATTTACGATTATTTTATTCTGTCTGGTCATGATGGGTGATACAATCAAACATCTCCCATCAATTGATCCAGATGAAGATATTGTAGCTTTTAATATTACTTTTTTCTAAAGAACCAATATGGCTATTCATTTGTTTGATTCTTGTTGATCAAATCTTATGGTATGTGAATCATGGAGAAGTTCTTTGGAAATAATGCTTCCTGGAGGAAAGACTGTTAAACCTCTGTGAGACAAATAATGTAAATTTTGCCAGTGAATTTTTAAAGAGCAAATATTTATGATACCACATAATCATAAATACTAAATATTTTGTGCATTGTGGTATTTTAAATGGTTTTCTAACTGTCCCCAGTTATTGCACAAAGATACTTTTACTTCAAAACCTATAGAAATAATAATGGAGATTATAAAAGTTGCCTTGTGGATTGTTGACATAATAGAACTAATAGTTGGAAGAAGCACCAAATTTCATTGTGAGATTGATTTTTCATGCTTCTTCGGTGATAGGGGAAACTGAAATATGCTTTAATTTAAAAAATAAAACAGAAGATTCAGCAGAAACTACATCATTTTTTTTATGATAAAAAAATCTTCATACATTTTTCCAAGCCTATCCTTTTAAATTAAAAAAAAAAAAAAAAGACTTGCTCCAGTGTTAAGTTTTTTTAAAAAATCTAAAGATTAAAACATGCTGTCTGGTTGTTAGAGTTTTATTTTTATAAACCTGTTTGGTTTGTATTGGTCTAGTATCTTAATGGACTGCACACATTCATATACAGACTGCACTTGTTAGCCGCTCATTTCTATTACATACATCACTAATTTTCACTGGCCTTCACTTGTGTAGCTTCTGCAGTGGGAAGTTGCACAACAACTAATGTTGGCTCTGTGGATGTGAAAATCAAGTTGTGCAAAGTTTAAAACTGCGTGGGAAGCTTAGACAAGTTAAGCAGACTACCCATTCCACAAGAATGATTCAAGAAGACCAGCTGCTTAACATGGGAGGGCTGATGCCCAGTATCACCCCTACAGCCACTGCTAAGCTACAGCAGTATCGCTCTCATTCAGATGATATATCTTTTTCTGGGAGGGAACTGGAGATGGCCATAGCTGCTTCCTCTACAGGTGGACACTGTAGCCACAATGCCTAAGGGTCCCTTTAAAGTGAGGCACATTGGCCTACAAGCATTCCAGCTAACTTCAGGAAGTGATTGGTCTTAGTGAATGGAGGACTTGATGCTGATCTTGGGGACTTCTCAATGTGAGGCATCTAGCCAGGTACACTTCTTTGGAACAGGTGGTTGCCTCAGTTCTTTGTTCTTAGGGGCCATTGGAATCACAAGTCAGTCTGGAGAATCTCATGTCATGTCTTAAGGAGCACAGTGAACAAACACAAAGACTAATATTGCTGGTGGTTGTACTGGCTATAGTTGTGTGCTAGGAGCAATATAGTGGTCACCAGGGCAGTGAGTCAGGAGGGTGTTGGATAAGGGCTTTGTCTCAGTCTCCCATCCTTCCTGTTACATCGCTTGAATGGCTGTTTTATTGTGTCCAATGGTAGGACCACCTCTTCCACCAATGTGTTAGAAGGTTGGGACATATAGGCATTA